TTTGGAGATAAATCTGAGTTGATAGGAGCTGAGGCCGGTTAACAAAGTACTCCTCAACAATAAAGTTTTTATTTTTTTGAGCTATGGTTCACTTACTGTATGATTGCAAATTTCCTCTAAGATTGACAAAGATAAATCTGATATGTCTAGATAAATTTTGAAATAATACCATCAAATCTCATTAGCTGTCTGTTACATCAAATGTAACAGACTATTCCTTATGATTCCCTTTGTGTTTGCCAGAAAAGCTATGGCCTCATTTAAGATGTTTTCCTGATTTGTTAATTAGTGGGGATTGTTCTTCAATAAATACGTAAGTAAGCTCTGACTCTGTTTCAGCTGTAGCCTTTTCTTGTTGTAGACACTTCAGGGTTTACAGAGCATATCTTAACATACCTGAGAGGCAGAAAAATATGTAAATATTGAGTAAAGCACAATTGGCATTTCCATTCCAAAAAACAGGAAGACGTTCCATATATGGAAGATTGGCGTCACATCTGTATTAGCACCATCCTCAGTGCTGTAAATTACTATAGCTGAAGAGGAGATGGGATTATTTCCTTTTTAAAAGCAATATTTTAAATGATATGTGGCAGTTTACTGGCAATACAGAGAGGGTGGAGAGAGCAATTTGACTAAAAAAAATAAATAAACAATCCATGCTGAAAATATAGACCACCTTTGAGGATTAAAGATAGGTAGAGAGAATCATAAGTAGAATTTAAGAGGAGGGGGGATGTGAAGGAGAAGGACAGAGGGCAACAGAAAGAGCTAAGAGCCAGAGAACAAATACAATTTTTTTGTGAGCATAATGGGACATATGAGACAAAAATATAATTTTTTTTAAGGCAGGAAATACTTTTTATTTCATCTCCATGAGGTGTAATGGTGCAAAGTCCCCTGCTTCGTTTGTATTTAGATTTTAAATGATCGAGTTAGTCAATTTTTTGTATATTTATATCTAACAAATAAATTCAAACCAATGACCTTTTTCGTGGGCTGCACAGTGGTCCAGTGAGCAGCACTGTTGCCTTGCAGCAACAAGGTTCTGGGTTCGATTCCCAGCCCGGGGTCTTTCTGCATGTAGTTTGCATGTTCTCTCTGAGCATGGGTGGGTTCTCTCCATGTACTCCAGCTTCCTCCCACAATCCAAAGACATGACGGTTCGGTTAATTGGCTCCTCTAAATTCTCCTTAGGAGTGAGTGTATATACAGGTGCTGGTCATAAAATTAGAATATCATGAAAAAGTAGATTGATTTCAGTAATTCCATTTAAAAAGTGAAACTTGTATATTATATTCATACATTACATACAAACTCATATATTTCAGATGTTTATTTTGTTTAATTTTGATGATTACAAATGACAACAAATGAAAATCTCAAATTCATCATATCAGAAAATTAGAATATTACTGAAGACCAATAAAAACAAAGGATTTATAGAAATGTTGGCCAACTGAAAAGTATGAACATGAAAAGTATGAGCATGTACAGCACTCAGTATTTAGTTGGGCCTCCTTTGGCCTGTATTACTGCAGCAATGCGGCGTGGCATGGAGTCGATCAGTCTGTGGCACTGCTCAGGTGTTATGATAGCCCAGGTTGCTCTAATAGTGGCTTTTAGCTCTTCTGAATTGTTGGGTCTGGTGTATTGCATCTTCTTCTTCACAATACCCCATAGATTTTCTATGGGGTTAAGGTCAGGAGAGTTTGCTGGCCAATTAAGAACAGGGATACCATGGTCCTTCAACCAGGTACTGGTAGCTTTGGCACTGTGTGCAGGTGCCAAGTCCTGTTGGAAAATGAAATCTGCATCTCCAAAAAGTTGGTCAGCTGCAGGAAGCATGAAGTGCTCTAAAACTTCCTGGTATGTGGCTGCGTTGACCCTGGACCTCAGAAAACACAATGGACCAACACCAGCAGATGACATGGCACCCCAAACCATCACTGACTGTGGAAACTTTACACTGGACTTCAAGCAACGTGGATGAAGTGCCTCTCTTCTTTTCCTCCAGACTCTGGGACCTTGATTTCCAAAGGAAATGCAAAATTTACTTTCATCAGAGAACATGACTTTGGACCACTCACCAGCAGTCCAGTCCTGTTTCTCTTTAGCCCAGGCAAGACGCTTCTGACGCTGTCTGTGGTTCAAGAGTGGCTTGACACAAGGAATGCGACAGCAGAAACCCATGTCTTTCATACGTCTGTGTGTGGTGGTTCTTGAAGCACTCACTCCAGCTGCAGTTCACTCTTTGTGAATCTCCCCCACATTTTTGAATGGGTTTTGTTTCACAATCCTCTCCAGGGTGCGGTTATCTCTCTTGCTTGTACACTTTTTTCGACCACATCTTTTCCTTCCCTTCGCCTCTCTATTAATGTGCTTGGACACTGAGCTCTGTGAACAGCCAGCCTCTTTAGCGATGACCTTTTGTGTCTTGCCCTCCTTGTGCAAGGTGTCGATGGTCGTCTTTTGGACAACTGTCAAGTCAGCAGTCTTCCCCATGATTGTGTAGCCTATAGAACTAGACTGAAAGACCATTTAAAGGCTTTTGCAGGTGGTTTGAGTTAATTAGCTGATTAGAGTGTGGCACCAGGGGCCATCAATTTTGAACCTTTTCACAATATTCTAATTTTCTGATATGATGAATTTGAGATTTTCATTTGTTGTCATTTGTAATCATCAAAATTAAACAAAATAAACATCTGAAATATATGAGTTTGTATGTAATGTATGAATATAATATACAAGTTTCACTTTTTAAATGGAATTACTGAAATCAATCTACTTTTTCATGATATTCTAATTTTATGACCAGCACCTGTAGTTTGTACCCTTTATCTCGTGTTGCCCTGAGATAGACTGGCGACCTGTCCAGGGTTTTACCCCACCTCTCACCCATTGACCGCTGGAAAAAGGCACCAGCACCCCTCGCCACCCCAGCAGGGATGAAGGAAAATGGATGGATGGATTTTTTTCACTGTGGTAAACAAGGTATATTTTTTAAATTCATACAAACTGTTTACACCAAAGCAAATGTACCTAAACACCCTCTTATCAGCAGGGTTTCCTCTGTCTTGAATCTCATATGATATACAGAAGCTCAATCCAAATCTGTAAGGAAATTAAAGCCACTTAAGTGGGTCAATGGTTTTCATAATGACTTCTAATTGGATTGTACTGGCGGCTAGGAAGGAGCTAGGACATTGTGTTTTTGTTTTGTTTTAATATTTTGATTTTAAGTTTAGTTTCTATCCAAAGCAGTTATTAGCACTATTGCCAGCTAATAGAAGAGTCAGGTCAACACAGACCTGTCTTACTCCTAGGTCTGGGTGCAGGTCTGGTTTTCCTTCTCTCTCTCCTCAGCAGGGCTGGATGGGCAGGTGCTTTACTTGTGAGCTGATTACCGCCCTTTATAAGGAGCTGGAACCAGGAGGAGGGTGTCAGTTCATTAGTGCTTCTATGTGGTACAGACTGATCTTCTTCCTAGCCTTGCTTCCTCGCGAAACCTGAACCTAACCCCCGCTCTCTGTTTCCTCCTTCTTATAACTCTGGATCCCAAGCCCAAGAACACTCCTCAGAAACCACTTCACTCTGGATACTCGCCTGAGATGCTCTCAGTTTGCCTCCTGGAATCCGTGAAGCCTCGGATCCCTTCTCTGCTTAAGCCCTCCTGCCTGAGCTCACCTGCTTGTCCAGCCTCTGACACAAACTCAGGAAATCATCAACCTGCACCTTCCGGACCACTGGACATCATCCTCCAAAACCGACGCCAAGGCTCCCTCTCAGTGAGTTCTAGCGCTCCTCATCCTTCAAACGAGCACCTTCCAGTTGCTCACCTGTCGCCTCTCCTTTTCCAGCAGTGCCCAGATTACCCAGGCAGCCGATATAATCTCAGTCCAGACCACAACCTTCAATAAAACTCTTTAACTGATCATTTGCCTCCGTGATTGCACTCATTCAGAGTCTTTCTTCTTGAAACATGACAAGGACTTTTAAATTCTACCACTGCGGGTTGGTTAGGTCTCTAAGTTCCTGTTAAGAAAAAATCTCCTGACTTCTTCAGAGGGCAAATAACAATCTAAATTATTAGAAACTCAGTTTGCCTTAAGCTGACATTGCATTGTGCTGTAGTCAATTGTTTCTTTCAGTTGCTTCCCTAAATTTGGCTGAGGAAGTTTGTCAGGTTGCAGAAAAGTCTGAGGCACAACTCTAAAAAAGAACAACTGAAACTAACTAATTTATGTTTGCCTTACCAAGTAATCCTCACAAACTTTAAATAATTCAATTATAATACTGAATATCATATTGCGCATGAAATATTAAACTTACTTCTCTGTTAAAGCTGATAGACGAGTGGGTCTGCATTCATTTCTGCTGAATATATTGTAAAGATTTAAGAAAAACTAAGTGACCTTTAAACAACTAGAAAAAAACTAATACAGGCAAAGAAAAAAAATTCATTTTAAATTCTAATTCAAGGATTTCAAACTAATTTTAACATCAGGCCACATCGCTTCACCAAGTCTTTTAAAGGGCTCATTGCAGATGTATACATAAAACTTTTGATTTCATATCAAAGAGGAGACCACTCCGGTAATATAAATTTACTCTTTCTCTTGCAATTATCAGCATCTTTGTACATTTATGCACATTTAAATACTCAGGGCTCATAGATAGTAGATCAGATGAAACATAAAGAGTAGAATTGTTTTAGACTTAATCCTGTTTAAGTTGACATTGTCATAATGTTATATTTTGCCTCATCTACCACATTAAACCATCATCTTAGAATTTAACTATCAGTATTTTTATTCCCCAGTTACAAGCTGTATGACTTTGCTTACAGTGTCTCAAGGGGGAAAATAAATTTTCTTTATGGCTTTGAGCATATTAGATTTTATCCCCTAAATGCGCTTCATCTTAAGCTGACCTGCAAATTCAGTGCTCGGAAAGGTCTGAGCTCTTTACTGGAAAATGTAAGATGCTGGAAAACGTACCTCCAAGGTCACAGATGACCTTAAAAGGTGTAAGATCGAAGGCCGTGACCACGTCTTTGCCACAGATGTTCCAGATGGAATTCATCAGGTGCATGAATTTCACCATTTCCTCGTCTGACCTGAACAGACAAGTTATTTTTTATTAATCCCTTTCCCCTCATGTCTCCTCTCATGGAAGCAGAAGCGTCTTTATCATCTTTACTAAACTGTCACCCGAAGGAGCGAAGTGCAAACAGAAACGCTTCTCATTTAGAAAGTTTCTCCCAGCGCCCGCTCCGTGTGTCTCTGTGAGACAGACAGGGTGCGGCAGAACAGAAGAGCCTGTGGTGAGAGCTGCTGCTCTGAGAAATCTCCACCTCATCAAGCAGCACCACCATAAGGCCCACATACACACATACATCCTCTTTCTTCTGGTTTCTACTTGTCTAAAATCTCTGTAGTGGAGCAGCCATCCAGCACTCAGAGCAACTTGATATGACACAAAGACATCCAAAAGAAGTTGAGTCATTGTTGGCCCTTAGACGGTGATTACAGAGGATGAGAAAAGAGAAAACAAATGACTCCAGGGCCAAACAGAAGACTGAAAGTGTCAAGAGCAAATTACATTAAAAGCTCTGTAATCTTTCTTTCTTGGCCACTGGTTCACTCCTGGGGTGTTTTAAACGACTGTCCTTTCTGAGGTCTGTCTGAAAACGTGTTCCACGTTTTTATGGAATGCACAAGACTAAAGACAATTTTTAGCATTTTAATTAGTGTGTTTTAATTGGGACTGTTTTTACAAAAATTGTTTTTATAGGAGGAGTTTGCTAAAACAGAAGAAACGAGCCAAAGGCCCGACTTTTCAATTTTTTAAACAGCAAAACAAAGATGGCCGTTTACCTGTCCCATAGAGACAGACTGCAGGTGGGACCTCACCTTGATACCGTGGCTCTGTGGAGGTGCAACGTTAAAGCAAGAATAAGGCTGGAGTTTCACTTCCACATGTGTTCCATATGTTTTGAATTGTGTAAATAAAGCATCGTTAAAAGTCAAATGTGTTCCTTCTCTTTCTTTCAACTGTATACGCTGCAAAGAATTGAAAACTATTTAAGTTCATTTTGCTTAAAAATAATTGCCTTTTTTCCTGAATTTAGCAGGTAAATGAGATACTTGCCGATAGAATAAGACTATTTACATTTCAAATAAGAAAAATAAGTGGATAATATCTAATTATCTTATTACAAGGGTAGAAATACTCCATTGGCTGATGTTCTTATTTGCCTTCTCAAATTAAGTGCAAATACAGTTATTTTAATAAATGTTTATTCATTTTTTTTATTGTTGCAGTGTAGTGGAAATGTTTATTTCCAAGCTAAAACATCCAGATTTAGCCAGGTAAACTCTTTTACTGTATAAAACTTATTTTAAACGGTTTCCAGCATCCATTCATTGTCTAATTAAAACTATGCTGCATTTTCCAAAATTACCTAATGAAGCTTAAGAAAAAATACCCTCTGATCTCTGATACTGCAATCCTATCAGCCCATTTCACATGTCCGCCATAGCCAATCATCATCTAGGACACTGCTTTAAAAAAAGGGCCGTCCACATTTTCCTCCAGCCTCTATTCCACCATCAGTCTCTGGTTCCTGGGGCTAAAGACGTACCTATAATTCCTCTGCTCAGTCATGACATCATGATTCTCTATGCTTGCAATTTCCACCGGGGCCTGAGCAGGAAAACTCCCTAATTGTTGCTTTTCTTCTGTGTGAATCTTTCCAGGTTGAACATCACATTCATTGCTACCCTGGCTGTTATAAGTTACTATTTACAGCCTCCCTTTGCCAACAGGACATCACTTATTGTTTAACTGTAGAAGTTTGGACTATGACAAACATTATCCTGTTCAGTTGTGTCTCTTTCTATATATAGAGGCTATTTAACTATTTCCTTGTAGTTTTGTTACATGCTTGGATTCATTAATCTGGTTAAAGACCTGTTGAAAGATCATTTTTATTCTAGAGGAGGCCAAGGTTTTGTTTGTTTGTTTTTTTGTTTGTTTTACAATCTATTCATATTCTAAATACTTTATATCTTGGCTGAAATCTCCTAACTACATGGGTTGATGCTGAGACATCGATTCGTATATTGTTTGCTATTTCTCTCACATGGTGTACAACCAGTGCATAAAGATCCATGGATGGCCAAGCTTTTGTGTGGAAGGTCTGGACTGATGACTAAAGCATTCGGTTGAGATTACATCAAAGTTCATGTTTTTATATTGTAGAGGTTCTTAAACTCTGTTTTTTTTTTTTTATCTAATCGATTTCATTGCTTAATTGAACCAGATAATTTCAAGTACTCAGGATTTAAAGTTATTAAAATCCCTCTCTGACATAAAGCTGCATGTTCGAATTTCACTTTCCTCTGCTTTTTTTATCCCTCTCAAACTCCTGATTCCTCAACGTTGAGAACTGGAGCTTAAAAAAAGCGATGTGGCTGTAAATTATTCAGGTGCAGAACATGGCTGGTTAAATGGCGATGGGTAAACAGGAGTCTGAGTCATCCAGGCACCCTTGAGTCTTCCTGCTGCAGAGCTCCAAGAATGCAGCGAATGACTTCGACGCTTGTTTTCCCTTGCTAATTTCCCCTCCGCATTCACAGGGGAAATCAGCAGGCACCAACAACTGCTTCTCCACAGCAAATCAGTTGAGCACAGGTGCCCAGATTGTTCTTTGTACAGCACTTTCATTACAATGCATTGACACTGATTTGCAAATGTATCTCATCACTGATATAGTATATATATATTTTTTTTTTGCATTAATCTAAAGCAATGAAGCAGCCTCTATTAAAACTGTCAGCTGCCTTCTATAAAATAATGTAGGGGATGAATCCTTTTTTTTAAATGATTGCAAAGAGGACAAAGTCTAGTCCCTTAGATGTAGAATAACAATGAAACCTCTAAGGCAGAAATTTCCTTCCCGTTTCACTTGAGGACGGAACTACCAGTAAGAAAGAAGGATGTTTTTGTGCTTTATTCCTTTGTGTCTCTCACTTTGGATGGATTCTCGTCCCCTGGGTCTGCTGGTGTTATTGTAACAGGCCCTCAGGCAGGCTGATCAAAATCTTTTAGCTAACACACTGTGCTGTGTGTGTGATGACCCCTAAAATTGCTGACCAGCAGATCAGCGAAGCGTTAAAACTGTGGGCACCGGATGCTATAAACATACCAGACCCTTTAGGACAATGGTGGGTTATTATTATTTTTTCTTTGCCTGTAGCTTCCTCACATCACCAGCCTTGCCCTCTCACTTTCTCTCTCTGCCTCATTTCATTTCGCATGTTCTCCCTCCTAATTAATCCAACAAGTCAGATTATTTTTGGAAGGAAATTTTTAAGAACATGTTAAGAACAAAGAGAAGGCAATGCATTATAAATATGCCAACATATTTCATGGCTGTGATTGTGCAGCAGTTTTTTTTTGTTTTTTGTTTTTTTTACCTGTAGAGAGCTTCAAACAGGTCCTTTGAACTGACTCCAAAAGCTTTTTCATACTGATTTCTTCCCTCTCTGAGGAAACGTAAAGAAAGGGAAAATAGAAATTAATAACAGTAACGGAGACATGCAGATAAAATTAGTATCATCTTTGATGGTATTTGGTTTCAGTTTTATTTTCCTCTCAGCTTTCTGTGGTCAGAATCACTAAGAAACACAACATCAAAGGACAGAGTTCAAACGGAGAAGGAAGACCAAAGTCTGTATCCAGACTGGATGCTGAAGCTGCTTCCCTCACAGCTCTTCACTGCCTACCTGTGGCTGACTTCCTCTTCTCCACATGAATAAAATCTGCACTTTTTCAGGACATTTCTTTTTACATTTTCTCATTTTACGATCAGAAATGTCAATGTGTTTAACGTGGATTCTGTCTGATCGTGCAATCATTTGTAACTAAAGTGGAAAGAAAGAGTGTTTCATGGTCACATACAGTATGCAGATTTGATTTGGTTTAAGAATGCTTCTTCTCTGTTGATGACTTCTGATTGCTTTATTTAATTTTTTTTCATCCACATCTTTATGATAACCAGATTTCTGCTTCAGTATTAGTTTTCATTAGTTTCGCTTGCCTGAGCAGTTGCTCCCTGCAGCTTCTCAGCCCTAAAGTCAGTTCATTTAGCCTTTTCTTTGCTTTAAACTCCTAAACAACTTTGTCCTTTTTCTTGTGTTCCTTTGTCACCACGTTGTTTGTTCATTATAGCTCACTGGAGGTCTCCAATAAATCCCCTAACCCATCAAAGAAAAGCTGGATTTATACTGAAAATTAGTTGCACACTGCTGGACTCTGCTGCTCATTACTTCTAAAGGTATTTGGTTGCACTGGATTTAAGCTGGGATGTCAGAGAGAGCCCTGAATACAAGAGCCAGAATACAAGAGCAGAATACAAAAGCAGGACAAAAGTGTTGAAAATTATGCGTCACGTCTTTTAAAATTCATAACTTTCCTCTACTCCGTGTTGGTTTGTATAACTTAAAATCCAAATGCAAACGACTTTCTATGAATATGTGACCAAATGTAAAAATAACCCAAAGGAGAATAAAAACTGTAGTTTTCCCAAAGTATTGAAGATTTTAGATTGTCCAGTCCAGCAGATCAGGAACAAAGGCATTATTCTAATGAATTTATGTACTGGAAATCCTCCATCTTCTCCTGCTTATTCCATCAGGGTCCCAGTGCCAATCTCCAGCAGTCTATGGGTGAGAGGCGGGGTACACCCTGGATAAGTCGCCAGTCTGTCACAGGGCAACCATTTAGTTCCAATCATTTCCCAAATATTCTTCGATCCTTTGAAATACAGTCTGCACTTTTGTCTATTCCTGAGTTTTTGGAGAATTCGATTCTCCTCTGATCCTCATTATAATTGTCCTCAAGCTACATAAGATTTATTACTCCAAATCCAAATCAAATTAATACTCTCGAAAGGGCCACACTTTACGTTGGACAGTCCTGATTTTCTGAGAACAATCATAAGTTTGGTATCTGTGACATCATCTGCTGAAAATAGGTTTGGTAGGAATTTGATGGTAACTATTTCAAGTGCCCATGGACACCTAACGGACTAATACATTAATCCTAACCTAATGTTTCTACATGTAACAGTAGTTAGATATAATGGAAAGTGTGGCCGACTTCTTGGATTTTATTGCTGTATTGTAATTAGTGTTGTGCCGATGCCATTTTGTGGCCCCAATACTGATACCAGATACCTGGCTGTGCAGTATCAGCCAATACCGATATCATCTGTTTGAAATTGATGTGTATATATATATATATATATATATATATATATATATATATATATATATATATATATATATATATATATATATATATATATATATATGAAGAACTGCATACTACTTGGATATAAAATAATTGCCATCATGGCTTTGTCAAGCTGCTGCCTACCTTTGTGAAGCAGGAAAAATACTAATATAAAGTGAATCTAGTAGAACTTTTTATTGCCTACCTGGAATGGGTGACAATAGTTGAATAAACTTTTGGCTCTCAAAATGGAATCGGTGCCCTATTTGTCTGTACTCGCCGATACCGATACTACCATTTACTGCTGGATCAGGGCCCCGTCCGATACTGGTATCAGTATCAGTGCAACACTATTTGTAATTCTGAAAGGCAACACTTTGCTGAGAAACAAAAAAAAAAAAACAGAGATATTTTCTGTATCTGCTGACCTAACAGCATCTGTAAGATAGTGCCAGCAGAGGTAGATGGTCCTGGAGCTGTACTGGATGGACTGGTAGAGGGACAAAGGACTGGAACGAGTGAGGAAGACTCTGGATTGCTCTGTGTTGCTGTAAAAAACTGAAGATGAGGAAGAAAGATGAATAAATAAAGGAAGAACAATGTGCAGGTGTAACTGCAGCAAAAGGTGATTCTACAAAGCATAGCATAAAGCTGCAAATTCAGACCACACTTTTCAGATATCTATTTGTTAGAAAAATGTCCTTCCCAGGCCCCATACAAAGCCTCCATTAATACATTAAAGCTTGAAATTATATTTAGACAGAATGTGTAAAAGCTTACAGAGTGCGAATTATTGTTGCTATTCATTCTACATCAACATCGAACATGTAAACTCAGATTTATGGGGAGATAAGAACCATTTTTCAGCGAGTCCTGACCTTGTCCTTGGTCCTGGTGTGTTTTGAGGAGCTGCAGGCCTGTGCAGGCAGCCAGCAGCCGTTGCATCCCATCCAAACTGGCTCCCACCGCCTGACTGATCTCCTCCGCTGACAGCGGACGCTTTGCAGCCAGCAGCACATCAAACACACCCAGTTCACAGGAGGTGAACACAGTCTAGGTCAGAGAGGGGAAACCGGCGAGACGCTGATAATATGAAGCAGAACTCAGTGGAATATAAAACATCAAATTAGTGTCTTTGAAGACAAATAAAGAGATTCTGCTGCGTATTTTTGGAATCATATTTCACTCAGATTGAATTCATAAAATGTCTAAATAATCGCACATAACTGAAATCTGTGCAAGTTGTGATTTCCTGCTTGGTCAGTCTGATGTTCTTCCATTATGGAGGGGAAGTGACCATACATGTTTTTTGTATGTTTTTTCAGATTATGTGTTAAAAAACGATCATGTTTCCTTCAACCTAAAATCTATATTGTGTAATTTTCAATAAAGCCTTATATAATAGATGTAAGTAGCAGTTATGTGATAAAATGTTAAAATGTTTAGGTGGAATTAATACTTTTGCAGGGAAAAGTAACTGTAGATGTTGATTATGCGCTAAATAATATACATATATATAATGCTTCTGCCATTGATACAAATGCATCTCATAATTTATTTGACAGTCATTAAATTAAATCATAAAAGTTACCTTGGAGATTAGAAAGCCTTCCATGTACTCCAGTATTTTTCTAGGGTACATGTCTGTAGCAAGTGTGGCTGGTTCCCCTTTGATTGAACCTACATCTTCACGCTCAGCCATTGTTGGTGCAGAAACCCCCTCCAGGAAGACCTCAGGCTGTACGTCTCTGCAGGTTAGATGATAATTCACTGCTTTGCTCCTCTGCAGATGTTTATGTGAGCGGCGGCGACGGCTGAAGAGGACTGAAAGCAAATCAAAGTGCCCACCCTGCAGCAACAGCAGGGAGAGTAGCAGTGGGCTAAGCTGATTACAGCCAGATAACCTAGATTAGAACATGGGTTCAGTTGGGTAGACAAAGAAACAACTCTGTGGAAACACTGGTCCCTTGTTGATTATCACTCACCCACTGCATTCACATACCAGAAGCTTTTTACTCATTTCATATGAACCTGATTGAAACAGGGTGTCAGAACTTCTTAAAAAATACAAGCTCCTCTTCTAGTAAATAGGTTTGAAAACAATCCTGTAAACTCACATTCCCCAAACCTTTGAATTAATAATGTAATATTCATGATATAAGGCATGGCTGCACAGACAAGGCAAAGAGAGATAAACAAAAGGGCCCCAAGTTAAATCTTTCAAAGCTCAGAAGGGACACTCTGTTGATCAGATAATGGTTAGTTTTTTGTTTGCTTTTTCATTAAATGTGGACAAGAAAAAATATATAGTGAAAAAATAGGTGTTGGAACAAAGACAATACATCTGATTTACAGTTTAAAGACCCCATCCCAACCATAAAACATGGTGGTGGTAGTACCATGCTGTGGGGATTCAGTTAACTTCGTAGGGAAACGGCTGTTCCAACCTAGCCTCGTGAGACCATCCTGATCTCGCAAGCTTTCAAGGTTTCACTCGCAGATCAGTCTGGAGACTCTCCGTTAAAGAAAATTTGGAGCCGTTCACCAAATGAACGTCCAATCAGCGTTGGCTTTGAGGCGGGTTGAGGTGTGACGCAACGAGAAGTGCGACAGTTCAGTCTAAAGAACATGGCGGCTTCAGCCGATGAAACTAGTGTTAGCGTGGCTATCGAGCAAGTTTTATCGGAATTACAGAGTATTTCTTCACTGAAAGAAGAGCAAAACACTGCTCTGGAGGCTTTTCTCAGAGAAAGAGGTTTTTGCTCTTCTCCCGACTGGTTTCGGCAAGGTTTGATCTATCAATTGGCTCCTCTTCGTCGTCGCTCTGTTAGTACGTCATATGCTTCGTTGATCTGATTGGTTTATTTGGCCCGTCTATCACCAACATAGGCCAATCAGCTAACCAGTATTTTCGCCCCTTCCCAAAATTACTTCAACGGAAGGTTTCCAGATGGATATGCGGAGCAAATGTATCTGGCGGAGTTAGGTTAATTCCAACCGTTGCATTTCCGAATTCTCTCGAGTGGTGCCAGACTTTACATGAGTGAATAAATGAATGCGATTGGTCGATTATTAAGGGGGCGGGATTGTTGTGGCGGAAGGTTCGCCAGCAAGTTTGGTTGTGGCCGGTGTCTGGGAAGCAACCTTTCTAACCAGTTAGCAACTTAGTGCTAGTAGGTTCCCATTGGGAAATTACATTGGGACTAGGTAGCATTAAATTGGTGACTTAGCAACGACACTGTCAAGGAACGCTATGGACAGTGGAAACATGCAAGAGGAGGAGAGTTTGTGTCGGAAGTCCTGAACGAGTCTCCTCCATCATACATTTTTTATTTAGAAGAGGAAAGCGGGGATGAAGATGCTGTGGAAGAGGACTGTTGCGTATATTAGCTGTGACATGAATTAAAATGCTATGACCAAAAATTTTGATTGACAGATGACCGCTGACATATGATTGGCCGAACTAACTGGCCTGCATAAGATAAAGAAAAAAAAAAACAGATTTAAGACAGGACTTTGTTTTTTTATAGAAATGTTATAAATTTAGGGAATGTATCGTTTGATAGAGTACATTTATGTACATGTTTAAGCTAGAATTATTTGACATTTAAATATGATTCCCCTATGACTTTAATGTATTGATATATGACAAATGTTAATATGGATGGAGCTGAATACGGGCTATCTTTAGATAAACCTCCAAGATTTCTAGAAGGATCATGCTAAGGACAGACGCTGCAGCAACATAATGATTTGAAAAACTAAAATGGCAGTCTGATTTAAGAGCTGCCTCCGAGATCTTAATCCATTTCAACCAAGCAACACATGTATTGGAAAGAACTGGCAGTATTGTTAGACCTGAAATTACTTTATTTTCACTGCAAGCCAAAACCACCACATAGGAAATAGTAGGATATTACATGTTTCCCCATAATGAAAAAAAACTAAACTTAATAATCTTGCTATTTTTTTTACCTTATTAGTAATAAACATCCATTTTTTTTGCTATAATAAAAATGGTTCTATAATCTAAAATCTTTGTCTTTCCTAAATTAAATTTTCTTTAAAAATCCTTTACTCAACCAAGTTTAATTAATGTACCTCAGTCTGTCTTGGAGATATTCTCTAGATGTTAGATCAGAATTATTATTAAGGATATAATTTGAACACTGAAAGTCTCATCCTAAACTAAATAAAAAGTCCATCTGCCTTTGCTGGAGGTTTAAACCTGTGCTACTTTCTGATATGCAGTCAGAGGGCTGCATTTTGGACACTAGAGGATGAGGGGCAATGATTCCAAAGACGCACGCCTTCTTCGGGTCTTTCATGCCAAAACCTCTGTATCAGTAGATCAAGAGTTTATCTACATTTTCAGACACTCAAACATTCCTAGGCTTTGAAAAGAAAAAAACAAAACAAATAAAAACAGATAACTTGTATTAAAGTTGTTTCAGATTCCGATCTTTATTATTGTGTGTGCAAGGCATGTTCTGAGCGGACCACAAGTACATACAGAAATGTCTTTGCCATTAAAAGCCATGTCCCTGTAGACAGAACCAGAGTCAGTTTCATCAAGTTCAGTTTAAATAAGAGTCAATAAAGTGAAGCATTCATCACATTCTGCGTTTAACGGTGGAAAAAAGCCCAAAGTAAATGATTTCATTCTGTATAAGATCTTTATTTTAATGAAAGGCAGCCACTCGAAATCTATCAAATGCGTCGCAGAGCTAATGAGTATATATAACCAGGTAAAACTGAACCTGCTTTAATTTGGTGAAAACTAAAGTTACTGAATGAGTTTTAACAAAAAATGAATTAACTAAACTTGTTACTAAACAAATATGCTTTATGACTGCGTTTGACTTTTTTTAAGCTTACATCAATAAGAAAACAAATCACTCAGGCTCCACTCAAACATAAACGCTAATGCTGACAATTAAAACCGAACTTTGTAATTTCTGGACACTTTGTTGTTTTTGTAGAGCAGAATCAGTCAGTGATGATCCAGAAGTCCACAAACTTACAGGAGGTTAAACGCCTGGAAATACTGCTTACTTAAAACAAAACAAACAAACAAAAAGGATTCTAAACGTGGAATCTTATGAATCCAGAGGTGGAATTTCTAAAAGGATGAATTATTCCCGATATAAAATAATTCATCTACAGATAAGAAATGAAATAATACAGCAATGACGTCATGTTTTGAAGGTTGGAGTTTCAATAAAAACCAACTGAGGGTTAAAGCGAACCTCTAATTCTCTGACACTGACTGTTAAATCAGAACTATGTGAACAACAAACGGAAGGTATTAAATGGAAATGGTTTGGTTTTCCTGTTAAATCAGCTCCATGTTCTGTAGGTCTGGTTGAGCAGAGAACCGTTCTCTCTGCGTCTGTGGAGAACTGTAGGATCTCCTCAGACAGAACATCAGTCAGTGGCTCTGCTGCCTTCAGCGCCCCTGGAGTGGCTCCGGTCTCTGCTGTTGCTGTATCTGTGGTACCTTCGCCTGTGATGACTGTGACTCCTGTGGCTTTTGCTCCTCTTTCTGCTGTACCTGCGATGACTTTGTCTTTGGCTCCTCCCCCTGCTGTAGCTCCTCCCTCTGTGGCTTAGGCTCCTATCCCTGCTGGAGCTTCTGCTGCTGGAGCTGCACCTCCTTCCCCTGTGACGGCTTTCGCTCCTCCTGTGATTCCTCCTTCGGCTCCTCGAACTCCTCCTCCGTCTACTTGAACTCTGGGAGCGCCTCCTTCTCTCTCGACTGCGCGAGCTCCCATGATCCCCCCGATCCCTGCTGTGTACGCTCCTGACAAGCTCTTTTTTATTGTCCACTCCTCGTCTCTCCTTTGATTTAATTTTCACCAAAGCTGCAGGATGCACAGATCTAGATTTTTGCAGTTCTTTACCATCATCCTTCTTCACCCCATTGACCCGACCCAGAACCCCGAGCATCATATCGCTAAGATCCGGAGCTGCTTCTTTGGTTGGCGGGCCGCCCAGGTCTGCTCCTGCTGTGCTCTTCTCAGTGCTCTTCTTGATCAGGTTGCACAGCAGCTTCTCCCTCAGCTCCTTCTCTTTCCGCTGGAGCTCCAGCGCTCGCTGCTTCTCCACCTCAACCCTCCGAAGCTCCTCCTCCTGCTTTCGTCGACAGGCCTCCAGCTGCTGAAGACGGTTCAGTTCCTCCTTCTGACGAGCTTCTTCCTGCATCTCCTGCTCCCTGCGTTCAGCCAACTCCTTCTCCTGCTGCTGCTGCTTCAACATCTGGTGGAAAAAAAGGAAGAAAAAAAAAAACAAATCAGAAACGCACAAAGAAAACAGAAGAATATGAAAGCTGATGTTTATAGTGTGCATTTGGTAAAGTCAAGAATTTTAGTTACCGTACATTTCATCTTATGTGGCAACAACCAACTTCAGTGAATTCTGTTGGGATTTTATGACTGAATATAAAAAAAAAAAAAAGCTTAAATGTTTAATTGTGAAAAAGGAGGAATTTTTGCTGTTAGACATCTCCAAAGCTAACCTTATATGATAGTTAAATCAAATCTGTTTATATCGATAACCTTTGGAAGTCAGCATAGATGTCAGTAAAGATCCAGCTGTTCTGAGAAACCCTCAGAGCTGAAAGAATATCATTGTAAGATGAGATTTTTTAACACAACTAAATCCTGAGGATACATTATTCACATAAACCTTTTTTAGACACTCAGCCTAAGATTTTGAATTTTAGAGTATTTCACTAACGGTTTTATTGTTGGACAGAACAAAACCGTATTACTTTTGTCACATAAAAATTATCTTTTCAAGGGAAAAGATGAAGGTTAAAGTAATTACCATGAACATTAATGTGACCTAATCTGGTATAAAAACAAACTC